TATAACGGTGGCCTTAACAAGGCGTACAGGGGGTACAGGGTTGGAAAAAGCACGTACCACGTAGCGCCTGCTAAGGGACACAATGTTCTTCTATGCTGGGCGTATCAACCATGTACGCCTGGTCGATTTATCGTGCCACTTGCCTTGAGGACTGTGGCCAATATCTTTTACCTCAAAACTCAGGCCATTATTCAGTTAGAGTTTGCAAAAAGTCGTAGTCACTTTTTGATTCGCTATTTTAAAGGAAAATCGTGCCAAAGACTTTTTCCAAATAGTACCACATACTTCACTTACCTTTGGGCTCCATTCCGAGTTGTCCAACCAGCTGGTGACGGTGTTAACGAGAGGACTGAAATGCACTTTGTTCGAAAATGACGTGTGACGCACGAGCAAACCACGGATTAATATGATTCGCCCAGTGGTTTTTTACCCAACATGAACAACGGGCGAGCGACAAGTGTGGTTAGCAGTTTATGTACGAACAATGAGGGAGCGGGCAGGGGCTGCATAGTGAAAAGCCGGGCACGTCCTTTATTTGAGAATCCCAGCGGGGGTCGTTTTTGCTTGCTGGAGAGGGGGGGGGCGTTCTTGGTCTGAGAAGTTTTTTATTTTTCTTCTAAGGATTTTTGTTAAAGAAATAGCTGACTTTACTTGCTCCACGGGGTTATTCATTTCGCTGGGAGAGTTCCAGTGAGGGCAGCCGTATTCGCCCGCCGTAAGCAGTGACCCAGTAAACAGATGAGAATAGCGGTCCGCATCAGTCGAGCATTTCAATTCACTGAAAAGGTGTTTGTGGCGAAAGCGTGCTCGCGCGGCAAAGATTGACCGCGTCACAGGATGAGATGCGCTGGCAGCAATCCGTCTAGTCTTTTAGATCTAGGCCTTTCGATATGGTGTAGTCACGTAGAAATTCGAATGATGTGACGGCGCTCGCTCAGTAATGTGGTCCATAACTCGTTTTTGGTCCTCTGCGCAGAAAGCCGAAAACCAGCTTCAGTTTATGTCGGTGGATTGGCTGTGGCTTCATAAAATACAAACTTCAGTTTAATTTACTTTGCTCCATCTATTATTGGCTCTTGTTCGCTGGACTGCCCTGGAATGCACGCACGGTTCTTCGACTTTAGCCCCGCCCACAACGGCACATGGTCCGCCTTCTCTTAACTCATCCACCTCCGCTTTCTCCCAGATCCTGGGTTGCTCTCAAACCGAGTTGCATTCTTCGGAACAGTACCACATGCTCAACCCATTCGTGACATTGTCCGCCACTGGTGATGGACAACGAAATATCCATTTGGGACCGTGTTCACCATTGTGCGGAGGACAGACTTTATAAATAATTTATCCAGACAAATGGTTTGTAATGTCTAAGGTTGGGAATCCTTGTAAAGTGGATCAAGAAGTAGGAAAGTGCTGTAAGCCTCGCTAGAAACTAAATCCAAAATGTTCTTTTCTACCGCATGAAGCCTTGAAGCGCAGTTGGCACGATAAATCCCCCCCCAAGACGACTAGGATCAATACTCCTGGCAGGATAGAATTCCGCGACCCTGGCATAGCGGTTTCCCCGAGGAAGGTGCCCTTATAAGGGCCCTATCAAGCCACAACATTACGTCCCAAACGCCCGCCCAGGACGACCGTTCCTGACGCTCGTATTCATTCATTTGCTAAGCAAATTATGAAGCGAAGGGATTGGTATGAAGCGGCCGTGATGCTGCATGCATACATGGGTACACATATGCAGCCGTATCTTCGGTAGCGGTGATTGGCAAGATGCCTACGGGAAACTCGTCCGAAATCGATTTTCAAGTCACTGAGAACGGAGGCTTTTTCTTCGCAGGATTTTGACCGTTTCACTCCGTTCTTTCGCCATTTCCCCACTATACAGCGCCCTACTAGCATTTTAGGCTAAGTAGGAAACCATCGTGCCAACTGCCTTTAACATCCGATCTTTTGCCCTCTTGTTCACTTTCTTGTCGCAAAAACCGACGATATCTATAATCATTAGGAAAGCAGGTCACTTTAGGGAAGCTTTGTTATTTTGTCAACCTATGTGAAGAGAGGCCAACAGCTGGTCAGTATTAGACAGGTCAGTAAAGAAGGTGAACACGGACAACACAGACCATACTCTGACTGGGCAGTTTTGGGAGGAATTATTATGGTTTTACCTTCGAGATTATCTACACCACCTCCACCCTCTTCGCTTCCACGGCTCTGGCCAGTCATGGGTCAAGCACCCGTTGAGGAACCCCCTCCGCGGTAAGGGCATTGCCTCTGGCTCGCAGGAAGGGTGTGCGTATAGGTGGTGGTTAGTGTGCAGTGAAATGAGCAGGTACAACTACCAGTTGGTATAGAGATGGAAGCTGAGCCTGGAAGGTGTGTAGGTTGTCTTCGAGAGTAGAAATACATTTCATAAATACCGTCAATTACTGCCCCTTCTGACTTCTTGATCTGTCAACAAAGTACCCTTTAGACTGGCACACAGATCTAGTTCCGACGGGAAGAACCAAAAAAGTGCAAAATTCAATTATAGCCTCGTTCTTCCGACATGGTGAAGCACGGTCCCATGGATATTTCGTCGTCGCCTTCACCAGTGGCGGACAATGTCAGCGAATGGGTTGAGCATGTGTACTGGTTCAGAAGAATGCACTCGTTCGGAGCCACCCAGGATCAGGAGAAAAGTGGAGGTAATGAGTAAGAGGAGGCGGAGCATGCGCCGTTGTGGCGGGTAACCAGGCGAAACCGTGTGTGTCTGTTCCATTTTTTGACGGGACGTGCGTCCCGTCCATTCTAACTACTGAGCGAGCGCCGTCACAGCATTCGAATTTCTACGTGACTACACCACATCGAAGGGCCTAGAACTAGAAGACTAGACGGATTGCTGCCAGCGCATCTCATCCTGTGACGCGGTCAATCTTTGCCGCGCGAGCACGCTTTCGCCACAAACAGTGAATGAAATGCTCCACTGATGCGGACCGCTATTCTCATCTGTTTACTGGGTCAGCGCTGCTTATCACAATCAAGTGGAAGGGGAATAGGCGTTGATCTAGCGTACAGATGTAGGAACGTTTGGCACTAACCGAGTACTTCGTTTAAAAAGCTCGGAAAATTTAGCTCGAGGGCAAGTAGGATGGGGAAAGGAAGGGCCGTATCCGAGGAGGAAATTTAGAGAGGGAGGAGGGAAAGTCTTACTTTGCAGGCTTTCTCCCAACACTGGGACGTGCGCGCTAGTAATGAGCTTGAGATTTATGCAAGACATACACTTTACATCACCGCAATTGTCGGGTCGCAATCGGCGCTTCTCAGCTGCGGCGTTTCCATCATTGGTTGTTTCCTCCCTAAATCGATCTTTACCCGATCGCCATTGGTAGAGCAACGAGGCCGAACGCCCATTTGGACCGCGCTGCACAGCCGCCTCCGACAGTCCGCAATGATGAGGACTATAGTTGTATGGTTCTCGAGTTGACAAGGAAGCTCGCGATGGAAACTTGGGCCACATGAACGGATTTACGCAGATATCTTCCAGCAACAACTATCTTACCCTTTAGCTGCATCCCGAGTAATCGAACCGGCTAGCAGCGAGCGAACAACCTAAAACGCATCTTCACACTGTAATCATGTCTTTCTCTATCACAAGCAGGATGACAGTTGTCCCGAATGCAAGAATTCTACGAAAAACGTATGTCACGCCACAGTCTGATGAAGCACACGGAGACGCCCTCCCCATTCTCAGGATATGGAGTGAAGTGTTGTGTGAGTATTTTGGGTAGTCTGCCTCTCGTGTTGGGTGAAAAACACACAATGAATCAATGTTGTTGATACGTGCGTTGCCCCTGCGTCCCCCTGTTGGAGCGAATCAACAAAAGCTTCCTTTTTGTTGTTCGTTCACATCGCCAGCCGGTTCGATTACTACTCGGGATGCAGCCAAAGGGTAAGTTAGTTCAGCTGTAGATATCTTCTCAGGCCTCTTTAGCCCCTTAGCCCCTTATGCGAGCTCCGGCCATTCGAGGACTCCTGATTACTTTTATTCCCACGAATGCTGCTTTTCAGATGTTGAGTCGATACTGAAACCACTGTACACAAAGTTCGTAGAGTTCAACAAAACTGGTGACAGTGAGGCCGCGCCAAGATTTATCATAGCCAAGGAGTCATGGTGAAGAAGGGCAAGAAAGCCACTTTTGGGAGAGAAGGTTAGGCGCGATTACTATATAATTGATTACTTTTTATCATCATTTTATCACATTATCATATTATTATGCTGTCTAACTTTCTAATATGCCTTTCACTGCAGAGATCATTAAAATGTACAATGAGTACTGGGAGAAGGATGGTCCGCGCCAATTTTCGGTCAGTGATAGACTTCTTTCTGGAGTTTCCATAACTTCAAATTTCGGACTTTTATTTTCTTCGAATAGTGATGGAATTAGAAGTGCACGAAAAATCGGATTGCTAAAGCAATTTTTATTTCAGACAAGCAATGAAACCTACCAGGGTACGGATGACTATTTGATGGCTCAGTGCGACTTTGAGGTGCGTCCGGAAAAAGGAAGCGCCTTCAAGGGCAAATGTAACCATATTTGGAAGAAGGAGGACGGAGAGTGGAAGATTTATCACGAAGAATTTGAAACGATTTAGAACATTTCTGCAGCGTTTTTTTTGCCTGTATGCTCAGTTATTTCGCATATCCACATTTTCACAGACATATAAATTCACATAGCACCTGAACGCTAAATAAAAATACTGCTCGACTAGTTACCGCAATCCTGCCTACGACACACAAATGTTAACTAAGAATGAAATGCACACTGTGCGCTTAAAAATGCACTGCCACCCTCTCAGTGGCGACAAGCCTACAGTCGCTGAATTGCTCACTAGGGGAGAAAAAAAAGCAAAAAAAATTATGGAGAAACACCCTTAATAGGGACCTAGCAGCCACGGTGGACGAGTTTTCCCGGCCTGCTCGTTTCAAGCCAGCAACGCGATGAGCTCCCACTTTTTGCTCCTTTATCGTTTGTTCGCCCCGTGCAATATTAATATACCTGACAACGAAAAAAAAACGAAAAACACGGCGTAAAGCTAAATTCGTGACAGAAAATAGCATTTGAGTGTGGGTGGAACAGTTAGGGGAACTGTCACTTCTGAAGACCGCAGCGCCTTCGCTACTCATTGTGAAGTCGCGAAAGTGGGATAATCTCGGAGAATAAGGACCAGACTACTTGTATGGTGAGGACTATTATGAGTGATTTGAGCGCGGGGACTGTGTTCAACGCAGGAGGACTCCATAATAAGGATCGATCAGGAACTGCAACAAAACAGTTTACCTATTGTGAGCCGCGCTATCTAAAGCGATTGTGCTGAAATGTAAAGCGTTTCAGGAGGCACGGCGACGACGTAAGGAGGTTGAGACAACAGAACGGTTCTTCTTCGTGCTAAGCTCTGCACCGTTTCTGCCTGATCATCGTCACTTTCTGGATCTCGGTACGACAAAGGGCATCTTGTCTTTGGCCCTCGCTCCCTACTTATTAGCGCTCATGTCATTTGCCGACATATCCTTCTAGCAGTGCCTAAAAGCGTATGGCACATAATTTGGTACTCGGCCTAAATGCTAGCAGGGTGCTATATAGTGGGGAAAATGGCGAAAAACGAAGTGAAACGGTCAAAAACCTGCGAAGAACCCTTCGTTCTTCATGATTCGGAAAGCAATTTTGGACGAGTTCCACGGTATTGTACAAATAACTGCTACGGTAGATACTCTGCATGTGGGTGCTATGCAGCACCGCAGCCGCTTCATATCAATCCCTTCGCTTCATATTTTACTTAGCAAGGAAAGAAATAAGAACGTCAGGCACGGTCGTCCATTTGTGGGCGGGCGGCACGGTATGTTGCAGCCTGATTAGGCCTTATCAGAGAAACATTCTTAGAAAAATGGGCTACGTAGGCCTGCTCAGGGGCGCGTCCCTGCCAGGCGGCGCGTTAATCCAACTCGTCTTGAGGGTTCATCGTGCCAACGCCTTTAATTCTTTGCAAACTACAGGCTTTTAGATCAGAGTGCAGATGAGCTTTTGAGATTTATCTGTTAATCTGTGCTGTGTACCCTACCCCCCCCCCACCTCCTTTTTTTTTGATAGCTCTACGTTGGGCGATATTTTATATCTATGGGTTGGCACATAATAATGGCGTTTTCTTCAGCGAAAATATTGTCCAAAAGTGAATGTTTGCAAGCAAGTTTGATATGCGACATGCCCTGATAGGAAACTCTCGTACTATATTAATATCAAGACAGGCTTTAGGGGAGGAAAAATTTTTTGCAAGTTTTTTTTAGCCGTATGTTGGAAGTTGAGTCGGCGAAAATCAGTACTTCGACAGCTGCCTCTATTTCCCTCTATTCAAGTGGTAAAATCGGCTTAAGCTGCTCTATAGATTAGAAGTAGGTTGAGCTAGGAGTTGGAACGAGGGAACCCTCATGGAGCGCTTCAGAACTGATTTCAAGTATTTCAAAGTTGGCAACCTTCAGCTCGCAGGATCACAAGTCATCGCGTCTGTTTCACTTGAAATTTTATGCTAATACTTGAATGTTTCGCTAATGTGTTTTGCATGCTCTGGTAGCAAATTTCGTGCTCTATAACGCTGCAAATAAAATTCTGTTTTCCATAGCTGCTTACTTTTTGTTAATTTTAGGTTATTAACAAGGAACGTCAGGTCGGTGAGAATCAGCATTCCCAACTTTTTCTCCCTACCGCTTTCCACGGAAGCTTCAAAGCCTCTGAAGCAGCCCAATACATTCGCCATGGTTCCAGTAATTGAGTGGAGAACTTGATATTAGGATGGTTCACAATTGCTTTTGAGAAAGAAAGCAAAACGCGACAACCGTTGCTCGCAGACATCCGGTGACCCATAAGCTCACAATTTTTTTTCCGGAATAAATTCCAAATACAAATATTTAGCAACTTCATGAAAAATGTAGATGTCCACAATAACCTAGTCAATAATGAATTCTTCACTGTTTCTTACAACCTTATCCCACCGATCAGCCAGCTTTTCAATGTCCTTCTCGGTGACTGACTGAGCTGGCTGATCGGTGGGAAGAGGTTGCAAGAACATTGGAGAATATATTATCGACTAGTTTATCGTAAACAACTATATTTTTTTATAAAGCAACTGTAATTTTATAGTGCTTTGTAAGTAAAGTAAATGTTAACATGTGCTTGAAAATTTAAACAGGAAACAAAAAAATTCGTGAGAATTGATTCAACCGGACAACGGTGGTCTGGTTTTTAGCTTTTTTCTCAAATCAGTTGTGCCGGCCATCCTTGTGCCCATAATCTTTTACTTGCGAACGCATGGCATTCCTTATTTGAGCTGCTTCCAGGGGCTTTGCAAGTTTCCGGTGGAAAATCGGCTAAGGGAGAGTTGTAACTGGGTTGAAAGTGAAAAGTTGGCAAGAAGTCGGTAAAATCTGTAGCCTCGTAGAACTGAATCCAGATGTTCCATCTACGCATGAAGCTTAACATGCGATTTTTTTTCCGCCGCCTGTTTCACTTTCTTTGTCCGGAGTAAACGTATTTTGTGAATCATTAGGAGACCAAGTCACTTTTGGAAGCTTTGTTTTTAGAGGGAGACCGCTCGCTGGATGTCTATCAGACATATTCGTGAAAGCACCAGATAATCGGTCGTCAATGGTCGGCCTGCTTAGCAGGGGTCGAGGAATCCTCAGCGATGGGATCGTATTCGGCTCGCTAGAGGGGGGTGCGCATATAAGTAGGTTAGTGTGCAGTAACAAGTAGGTGAAAGGGGATAAAAGTGGAGCCTGGAGGTGGTGTAGATGGCCTCAAAGGAAAAAAACTTGAGAAATTTTCCCATAACCTTCCAATTCTACAAACAAAAGTTCTCAAAGATTGGCATCCAATCTGTTGACAACGAGAATAACCGTCAGTGCAAAGCACCTCACGAAAGACATCCTGTTCGGTGTTTAGAGTTAATTTCACAAGAAGAGTGGGTTGTATGGACACCCTTTCAGGAGAAGGTCGGTCGTAACGATAAGCCAATTTTCCTCAGCGGGATGCTAGATCCTATATGACCTCTTGCCCAGGGCAGTCTTTGCAGTGGTATAGACACGAACATGGAGTGTCAGAATGAGAGACGGCCAGAGTACGCTAATTTTACTAGTTTGCAGCGGATTTGGAAGCAATGTGAATTCTATTATCAACTAAAAATTACCGTAGGCAGTGTTACGACTAGTCGAGTAGTATTTATCTTTGTGTCGATTTGTATATCTGTGGTAATATGAATAATATGGTATAACGTCACATATATGCAAAAAGCTAGACGCAGCGTCCTGAATCGTTTCATACTCCTCGTCATAAATCTTTCAATCTCCGTCTTCTTTCTTCCAAAAAATTGTGGATTTGCCCTTGAATGTGCCTGTTTCTTTCTCCGGGCGCACCTCATTGGATCATCAGGTAGTAGTCATCCGTACCCTGGTAGGTTTCATTGCTAGTCTGAAATGAAAATGCTTAGCAAGCCGATTTTCCGTGTACCTCGAATTCCATTATTATTCGCAGAACAAATAAACGTCTAAATTCGAAATTATGGAAACTCCAGAAAGAAGACCATCAGTGACCAAGGATTCGTGAGGACCGATTTTCTGCCAGAACTCACTGAACAGATAAACGATCTCTGAAGTGAAGGGCATATTGCAAAAGTAAGACAGTATCATGGTGTGGTAATATGGTGATAATTAACCCATTGCGTAGCGCGTGCTGCACCATGTGCAGCACGCTCGTTTGCCTCTGTATGGCCGCGTGCTGCACATGGTGAAGCACGCTTCGTTTGAACTTATTTAACATTGTTAGATGATTGAAAAGAGTCGGAATATTCCTGAAGTCTTCTGGGACAAAATATGTGTGGGGGAAACTGCGGGATTGAATAAGAGCTAAGTTATTGGCATTTTCCGAGAATACCTCAACCATTATATTCTTTGTTTAATTCTCATTTACCAAGG